GGAATTTAATTCCTGCTACCTACTCTTGCATCTGCCCTTGAAACTCCAGATCCTTCATTACATGAAAGTCCTTCAAAATATTTCAGGTGAAAGTAAAATTAAAAGATGTCTGTTTGGTGCCATTTTTTTACATTCATAAATAATTTTTTTTCAAAATACACATTATACACAAACTCTACAAAGATCTTCCATATTTCTGAGCCAATTTCATCCAGGAACTAGAAATTGAATACCCTTTCCAATAGCTACAGTAGCCAGAAGCCAGCCTCACACCTACTCCAAGTTTGGGAAGGTCCAGCCCAAGTGAATGTTCTATGCCCACAGCTTCACTGAAGAGAAAGAATTTCTAGAATAGAAGACTTTAACAGAGATAAATCATCTCATGCAAATCCTTGTAAATTGTGGTGAAAAATTCATTAACTATAGTTACAGAGATATATTCAAACTATTTTAAGAGAAGAAAATGTTCAAATTCATTTCTGTATAAATTCAGAGATGGTCAATAATGCATTAGAAATTAATTTCTGACATTAAATTGAAGGCAAATTTCATACCTCATATATCTAGTTAGCGTTTTCTCAAGTGTCCAAGAAATGAACAAAAGTAAGGGAAACTTCAAATTAAGTCAGAGCTGATAACTTCCCAGCAGAGGCCAGCTCTCTTGATTTTACCACTTCCTTACCCACTAACAGCATGTCAGCTAAACAAGTTCAGCAGCTATCACCTTTCACTTGTCCAAAATCATTTTTTAAGATTTAGTCATTTTTATTGGAAAGACAAATATACAGAAAGGAAGAGAGATAGAGGAGAATATTTTCCATCCACTGATTCACCCCCGCCCCCCAAGTGGCCACAACAGCCAGAGCTGAACCAATCCAAAGCCAGGATCCAGGAGCCAGGAGCCTCTTCCACGTCTCCTATGCGGGTGCAGGGCCCCAAGGTTTGGGCCGTCCTCAACTACTTTCCCAGGCCACAAGCAGGGAGCTGGATGGGAACTGGGGTCTCTAGGATATGAACCAGTGCCCATACAGGATTTTGGTATATCCAAGGCAAGGTCTTCAGCCATTGGGCTACCGAGCCAAGCCCACTTGTTCAAAATCTTAATGCGCTACTATAGTGATTACTGCAATAATTATAATAATGATTTCAGATTTTTTAAAAATCATTTTCACTGTTTTGTATATATCACTGTGTATATCCCCCTCCTTCAAGACTCTTGCCCCAAATTAATCTCTCTGTAACATCTTATCTAATTAATCTAACTTGACCTTTATCTCAGGACCAGGAAACAGAAGCTTTTTAGCAGATATCTATGCCTTCTATGGGCAAAATCTATGAGGCACCAACCTGGCACATGAGAATTACTGTTGCATGCCAGGCCCTGTGCTAGATGAACTGGGGTATCTTGTGTAATTCTAACAACCTACAAAGCAGAAATGTCTCCTATAAGGCAAATCCCAAAAGAATCATAGAGATTGGGGCTAGTATGGTGGCTCAACAGGCTAATCTTCCACCTGCAAGTGCTGACATCCCATATGGGTGCCACTAAATGTCCCAGCAGATCCATTTCTGATCCAGCAATCTACTTTTGACCTAAGAATCAGTAGAGAATGGACCAAGTTGTTGGGCCCTTGCTCCCTTGTGGGAGATTCGAAAGAGGCTCCTAGTTCCTGGATGCAGATCAGCTCTCAGTCCTGGCCATATGGGAAGCTTTCTCCATATATCTCCTTTTCACTGTAAATCTTTCTTTCCAATAAAGATAAATATAAAAATCTTTTATTAAGAAAAATCAAAGGGCCCAGTATAGCAGTGTAATGGCTAAAGTCTTCATCTTACATGTGCCAGTATCCCATATGGGCACCAGTTTGTATCCCAGCTGTTCCACTTCCCTCCAAGTTCCCTACTTGTGGCTTTGGAAAGCAGTCAAGGATGGCCCAAAGCCTTGTGGTCAGCACCCACATGGGACCTGGAAGAAGCTCCTCAGCTCTGGCCATTGCATCCACTTGGGGAGTGAACCAACAGATGGAAGATCTTTCTCTGTCTTTTCTTCTTTCTCTAAATCTAACTCTTCAATAAAAATTTTTAAAAATCATAGAAATAGCAAAATCTTCAAGGTCACAGAACATTCCTGTGGAACATACAGCAATCGCAATCTCAGAGAACATAGGTCCAGTGGCAGAGAAGCAGTGACTAAAGCTCTTTATTGGATGTTACCAATGCCAAGTGCTTTCCATTGCCTAGCTCCCATCAGAAGTAGAACTGAAAAAATCGACTGCTCACTCAGTGCCTCCCACCATGCCCTGTAGTGAGGCAAGTCCACTGACAGTGTTTATAATCAAGAAGGTACAAAGAAAGCTCTAACAGAAGAACTCTGGAAATATTTGCTCCCATTATTCAGTAACAAAAGCAAAAATGAAGATCTTCCCTTTGGGCTTGTGTTTTCCTTTCTGTTTGGGGTGGTTTCAAAAGGATATAATGCCTAAATATAGGGAAATCATCTTGCTATCATAAGAAATGACCAAAAATTACAGATCTAAGGACCCAAATCCTGATATTATTTAAAAATATAAGCAGATATCTGTAGCCTGCTTGTGAAATAAATAACAAAGTTTCTTCAGGTTTAAGCCACACTGCAGCTGAGCACAGTCTAACGGAAATAGCCACGGTGCTGCTCAAGGACAAATTGCAATAATGCTTGATGACTATTTTTTAAAACTCGCTATCCAGATAGTTTTCAAGAACTCAAATGAATTTCTGTTAACGGAACTTCTGAAACACAAAAACGCTTAATTTGGTTGCCGAGAAACTAGCACACTATAGACATGCAGTAAATATTATTTGACTGAATGAATATACTGTCAGGACTTACAATAAATGGTCACTAAGATAAGACATACATCAGCATTTATTCAACTAAGTTCAGGGATAGTCTTGAGGATAAAATGAGGATTTGAAGTTGTAGAGAAATGCATCCTTTGGTATAAAGTATTGCAGTCTACATGGGAGAAATGAAAACAGCTCTAACTCTGTGGTGGAAGTGATCAAGTAACGTGTGCACTCTTTGAGGTAAGTGTTGATGTGTCTACATATTGGATGTTGGAGTGTGAAAACTGGCTCCACTTTGGATTCCAGCTCCCTGTTAATTCATGCCCTGGAAGGTAGCAGGTGGTACACACGTAGTTGACTCCCTTTCAGCCACTTGGGAGATTTGGCTTGAGTTCCTGGTTTATACCTTCAGCCTTGCTCAACTCAGCTGTTTTGGGGAATTAGAGAGTGCTACAAGGAATGAAAGATTCTCTCTCTCATTTCTTAATGTATAGTCTTAAAGATAGCTTTTAAAATAGTATACTATTGTCATACTATTGTCAGAATACCTTAATTTTATTGTCTGAATAACTTAATTATTTATGGGTATCACTTTCCTACTCAAAGTAGAAAACTTTCAACATACAGATAAATACAAGAAGAAAAGGGGAAAAAAACTTGCATCACAAGTACTAGTTTTGAGGACTCTTCCAAATATACTATTCCAATTTCCAGAAATTATTTTCATTTGCATCTAAACAACAGAAACAATATTATTGTAAATATCTTGAAGCGAGCTATGAAGTGAAGGAGCTTCTTAATATGAGAGCCACATAATATTCACAAATATGAAATATTACAATCCATAGCACATCGAGAATGCCACATTAACTGCTACCATAAAACACTATGATTCAATTCAATTTAAAATCCTTAGTTTTTAATGCTGTTTTATAACTACTATGTGCAATTTATATTGTCTGTTTAGTTCCCTGCTGTTTCTTCCCTTGATTCAATATTTTGCCCCAAGAATTTTCATTAATTTATAAATGTTTATGACTATTATAGAAAAATAATAACAGTCACACAAAAATGGATCATCAGCTTAAAATGTTCAATTTGCTTTCTCAACCAGTGGCAGGCGCTGAGAGTTGGGGAGGCATCTGATTACTAATCAGACTTCAAAGTTCAACACTCACCTGTAGAGATCATTGACTTATTATCTTAATTATTTCATCTTACTGAGTCTTTTCTCATATTTTCCGTTGGCTTTGACTTTTATTTCCCTATTAAACTTTTGGCCTCAAATTTCCACTCTGCTCATTGTGAACTTAATGTTTATACCCAACCCAAATTCATATGTTGAAATCTTAACACCCATTGTGATGGTATTAAAAGGGTATGGGGACCGAGTATGAAGTGGATAGGATCGAGCTGGACTACAATACCCATTGGTTCACGAGGAAGACAGAGCTGGAAACAGAATGGACCCAGCAATTGCAATGACCAGCATGTGCATAAGCTGATTAGTGTGACAGACGGTGTTGGACCCTGTACTAGCAAATTCACACAAGAATCAGGTCTGGGATCATCTCAGATGAAATTTCTTTGGAGATCCCTCCAATTGAACTGCTGACCTTAGAGCCCCAACCATGAAGAGACTGTCAACCCGTGGACTCTGGATAGGTTTTGTTGTGATTAGAACTGCGAGACTGGCAGCAATCCAGAACTGATAAACCATCAAAACTGTTTGAGCAGGACCCTCGGAGCATGCCTCCCATTGGGGATCTGGGAAGGGTGGGAGGTTGGGTGGAGCTTTTCCCTTTATTACTCCCCAAACCCCAGAAACAGGGAAAAATTATATTAGTGTGGAAACAATGGTATTACCCACTTTCATCCTGTAGCCCTGGACCTTTTGTACCCTAATCAACTAAGTAAGATTATTAAAAAATAATTTTCACAAAAAAGAGTATGGGGAGTTAGCTAGCCTTTAGTTGAACAAAAGCCTTTTGTGAATGGAGTAAATAACTAAACAGAAGGCTCTCAGAGTGCTTCCCATGTGAGGACACAGGACCGCCATCTGTGAACCAGAAAGCAGGCCTTCACTATTGGACAGTGAATGTACCAGCACCTTGGTCTTCAACTTCCTGGCCTTCAGAACGATCAGAAACAAATGACTTTTGTTTATAGGTTACCTGTCCTGCGGTATTTTGTGATAACAGTTCCAAAGGATGAAGTCAATCACGACCCTCATATTGTTATACATGAATAAATCATCTCTTTATTTTCAATGACTCTGAACTTCTTGCAAACACTGTGCTTAGCTTCTCAGAACCCAGAAGGAAAGAGCATCAGCAGCGTTACACACAAGTATATTTATATGGTATGGCTGTCATTATATAATATCACTCATTACCATGTGGTTTCAACACATGCAATAGACTTTCTCAGGTTTCTAGAGGCTGGAGATCATGACGGCAGCTATTTTGATTTCTTCCGAGGGGCCATGCGGGAGGGACACACTTCAGTCCTCTCTCCTTGGCTTGCAGGTGCCCACCTTGACCCTCTGTCTTCATGATTCATTACATGTCTAAATCCCAATCTCTTCTTCTAAAATACTGTCATAACATTGAATTAGGATTCACCCCATTAACTTCATTTAACCTTAATTACTTCTCTAAAGGTTCTTTCTCCACATACAGCCACATTCTAAGATACTAAAGGTTAGAACACCAACGTAAGAAATAAGGTGGAAGCAGGAGAACTCAATTTGACTGATATCATAGAAATAACTAAAAGGCTTATCAGTTTAAGTACATAACATGAATTTAGGCATAATAAATGTTTAAAAATCTTGCCTAAGTACAGATTTTATACCTTTATCCTGAGGTTTTTGTATAGGAAAATAGAATTCTTGATGACCCAGAAGGTGGTCAAAGTATTTGGAAAGTAATAGGATGAAGCCCCTTACTCTTGGCTTCCACCCAGTGTAGAACTGTCGTAGTCATTTGGGAAAGTGAGCTAGAAGAAAGAAGATCTCTCTTTCTCTTTCTCTCTCTCTCAATTCCTTTGCCCCATCTCACTTTCTGACACTCTACCTTTAAATATATATATATGTATATATACATATATACACATACATATACATAAACACACACATATATATACACATATATTTTTTTAAATGGGTGGATACTTTTTAGACCTACCACAGTTAGGATGGAAGAGGAGAGGATAATTATGCACGCCAAGAGAGTCTCCAAAGCTTGGGAAATCACCTTTTCTTTGACAGATAATCAAACTTCACAAAAATCTAGCCAGACCAAAAAGTGTTAACTTCACAAGAGAGGAAGGAAGATAAGAAGACTTAGCCCGAGAGGGAGAGTAGATCCACAAGAGGATAACAAATGATTAAGGAATCCAGATCCATGTAGCTACTCTTGTCAGTGTTCACTTTTAAAGCATGCCTCTTCTGGCTCACTATAAAGGCAATGATTTGACAAGTCTCAAAAAACTTTTAATCCTAATACCGACAGAATCTCAGGAAAGCATGATTTTTCAAGCTACACTACTCAACTTGTCACATCTTTTTCTCTTTTCTTCAGAAAAGCATTCCTCCAAAAAGGCAAGCTCCCAGGTGAGTTACTTTAATCCAAGTATCTTTTCTGATCCCACAATTTGCAGCAATGATGTTGTCAACGAAGAATGTGTTTCCTTCCTGAGACTCATGCAAGAAGAGAATGATTTCCAGGGTCTGACTAATGAAGGAACCAAGTGAATTCTGCGCAGCAGGAACTAGAGGCACAGGAAATTCCATCCTAATTGTGGATTTTGATTTTCAAAATGTGCAACATATGAACACACATGAAAAAAAGCAAAAAAACAAAAATTTTGAAAATCACTTACTTAATCCATAAACTACAATATGCATGATTTTCAACAGAATACACTATTCACTAACTCTTATTTTGCTGAAGTTTGAGAACCACAGGGCTAAAACCCAAGGAAGGAACTAATCAGAAATAAAAACATGTTTACACACTTACCAAAATCTCTACAAACATTTAGCAACTTTTGTCTTCAATGCATTGAGGATCAATGATTGGTTATTTTAAAAATTAGGTTAATGGACCTGGTGGCATGGCCTAGTGGCTAAAGTCCTCGCCTTGAACGTGCCTGGATCCCATATGGGCGCTGGTTCTAGTCCTGGCAGCTCCATTTCCCATCCAACTCTCTGCTTGTGGCCTGGGAAAGCAGTTGAGGACAGCCCAAAGCCTTGGGACCCTGCACCCATATGGGATACCTGGAAAAAGTTCCTGGATCCTGGCTTTGGATCCGCATAGCACCAGCCGTTGTGCTCACTTGGGGAGTGAATCATCAGACAGAAGATCTTCCTCTCTGTCTCTCCTCCTCTCTGTATATCTGACTTTCCAATAAATAAATAAATCTTAAAAAAAATAGGTTAGGGCCCGGAGCGGTGGCGCAAGTGGTTAAGTCCTCGCCTAGCACGCCCGGGATCCCATATGGGCGCCGGTTCTAATCCCGGCAGCCCCGCTTCCCTTCCAGCTCCCTGCCTGTGGCCTGGGAAAGCAGTCGAGGATGGCCCAAAGCTTTGGGAACCTGCACCCGTGTGGGAGACCCGGAAGAGGCTCCTGGCTTTGGATCTGCATAGTATCGGCCCGTTGCGCTCACTTGGGGAGTGAATCATCGGACGGAAGATCTTCCTCTCTGTCTCTCCTCTCTGTATATCCGCCTTTCCAATGAAAAAATAATAAAAATAAATCTAAAAAAAAAAATAGGTTATATAAAAATAAATCTATAATTAATAGTTTGTTTGAATTGAAAGCATAAATGTCCATGCTTCACTGTTGGTCAGTTTTCCTAAGAGTTATACTTTGAGTATGGCACAGATCATTGCCCTCTACTTGCTTATTCCTTTTTTAAAAAAATATTTATTTATTTTTATTGCAAAGCCAGATATACAGAAAGGAGAGACAGAGAGGAAGATCTTCCATCTGATGATTCACTCCCCCAAGTGACCACAATGGCTGGTGCTGCACCAACCCGAAGCAGGGAACCAGGAACCTCTTCTAGGTCTCTCACGTGGGTGCAGAATCCCAAAGCTCTGGGCTGTCCTCGGACTGCTTTCCCAGGCCACAAGCAGGGAGCTGGATGGGAAATGAAGCTGCCAGGATTAGAACCAGCGGCCATATGGGATCCCAGCGCATTCAAGGCGAGGACTTTAGCCATTAGGCCATGCTGCCGTGCCCTACTTGCATATTCTTTAAATAAACTTATACTCAGTTTGTTACAGCATGCAAACAAATATGAATGTTAACTTATTATTATTTGTAAATTTTATCCCCACCTAGTTAGACAATTTTATTTTAAATTGATGTTTATCTCTGGAATCATCTCATTATACACAATTCTTAACTGCTGTGTAGAAAGTGTGTAAACTCTGGGAGAGAAAGATCAAATAATTCCATTTGCTTGCTGCTTTTCATGTTTGTACCAAAATGATTTAAAGGTTATTTCAGTTTCATCATCCAAAAATTTTAAGTCTTTATTGAATATTATATAAAAATTTAGTCTCAACAGTACACAAACTTTACTGTAGAGTCCTGATATTTGACACTGATTTCAGAATTGCGAATTGAATCGAAGAAGCCTTATTTTCCATTTTCCTGATAAAATATCCATGCAGTTAGGAAAAATCCAAAAACATTGCAGAAGTCACCCTTTCTCTTCCTTGAGAAGGGAAGTGGATGCTCTTGTGTATGGACTCCCATTCTCCAATTCCAAAATTTACAAACCGGGGTGTGTGCAGACATGCTGATAGCCAAATACTTTCCTTGGAAAACTTGAGTAAGGATACTTTTAGGGGATCAATTTCTATTCCTCAAGGTTCTACTGTATTCTACAAGACTGATCTTCCTGAGAAGGTACTTTCAGTCATGCTGTTTACCTCAACCCCCATTTTATTATCATCTTTCAGATTTTACCAAAAAAAAAAAAAAAGGTATATCTCTCACCAAAAGGTGTGTTTTCAGGGTGCCCTGAGGTTAGATAGAAAAACATTTGAAAAACAAAGTAGCACTTGAACCATTGTTTAGATGCTGAAACAAAAAATAGCTGCCATCACTGAGCAAGATTTGACTGCAAGTCGAATAGCTCCTAATATTTTGTATTCAACACAGATGACAGAGTACCTAACTGAGCTGTCATTTGAAAAAATCATGAAAAACATTTTATTGGTGTTGACCTTCACCTGATTTTCACTTGTAGCTATGGGGAACTAAGTGACATTGCCATAACATATCCCTTTCTAACCCAATACATTTAAGGTTTATTAAACAAATGGGTAAGGTCTCAACTATAAAAAAAAACAATATCTAGAATAAAATGATCAGGGGGAGAACACACAATGGGCCTGTTTGATTCATCTCATTTGAAGAGAGCCAAATTACTCCTCAAAGTTAATTTGTTAGTATTAACAAAATGGCAAATAGAAAGTACTCAGCTCAGCTTGAATTCAAATATTCAATGACAATTCAAGTATGAAATTCTGTCCAAAAGATACATTGGAGTCCAAGGTTGTGGCTCAGTGGATTAAAGCACCATTTGAAAGCCAGTATCCTATATCTAAATACTGATCCATATTACAGTGGCCTTGCTCTTGGAGCTGCTCCCTGCCAAGACACCTGAAAAGACAAAGATAGCTCAAGAACTTGGACTCCTGCCATCTCTGAAAAACCAGAATGGAGAGATGGAGTTCTTGGCCACTGGCTACAACTTGGCCCAGACCAGGCTGTTGCCACCATCTGGATAATAAACCAACAGTAGGAAATGTAGATGTCTCCCTTTCTCTTTCTCTCACTCTCTCAACTTTCAAGTTCCAACTTTCATCTGCCTTGCAAATAAACATATATATTTTAAAAAGGTACATTTGTGGTTGTGAATGGGCAACAAAGACACGAGGGTACTACTCTGGCCATACAAAATGCTACCTTGGCTACTCTGGCCATGCAAAGTGCTACCTTGGGAGAAAGCATTTTAGCACAGCAGTTAAGATGTTGGTTACTGGCCTGGCGCAATGACTGAGTGACTGAATTCTTGTTTTGTGTGTATCGGGATCCCATTTGGGTACCGGTTCATATCCCTACTGCTTCACTTCCTATCCAGCTCCCTTCTTGTGATCTGGGAAAGCAGTAGATAATGGCCTAAAGCCATGGGACCCTACACCCATGTGGA